ATGCACTCCTAGAAGAGCCGTGTGGCTGCTAGGATGTGTAATTTTATTTATTTATTAATATAACGTGTTGGGACATATGTAAGAAATAGGTCATTTGTCTTCTCATTTATATGGGACGTCGGCCGAGGAGAAGTGCAGGTTTTGGCTTCTGTGATGTCAGTCCTGGGCCATGGACCGACCGCAGTGTTTCTGGGATCCTGTAGCTCGGTGTGCTAACCACTGCGCCACCACTCCCCCTACACGAAGCTCAATGACGACGGGTGGTGTCGGGGGGGGGGGGGGGACTTTAGCGACTGCCTGAGCGCGGGATTGTTCCGCTTTGCGTCGGAATTAGCGGTGCTTTCTCTCCACAAAGTTTCCCAACGGTCGAGTTAACTAAAATATAAATTTATTTTTCGACTTAAAACTTTCGTGATTGCAGGAATTCATATTCTTGGTTCTTTCTCATTTATATGTTCTCATTTCATTCTAAAACACTCTCGAGACTCAGAGTCTCTTTCCTGAATGAATTAATGAATACATCAATATTTACGACGGCCTGCAGATAAATTCAACCCCCCCACCTCCGCCACCACCCTCGTATGGAAGTCTCCACGCACAGAAAGCCAGAGGCTCGTTAGTGGAATGGGCGACCGGTCTGTGCTGGGTTAATTGGACACTCGTAGTATTTTCCCAACTCGTCACAAATAACTGCGGGGCACTGTTACCTCTCCACGTTCCGTAGGATCCTCATGATTCTGCGTCAGTGCGGTTTGCGGCGGGGTCCGGACTGAAGGAAGCGGGAGAGGGGGGGGGACTCTCGCCTGAAATAGCTCCTCCGCACGATCGTCACCAGCAGCCGCCCGCTGCCTCAGAATAGAAACATTCATGCGTAGCGGGAAGTGGGGGGCGCTGAGGGGCCGGCGGAAAACATCGACTGACTCAGAGTGGGGAACAGCTCACGACAGAGAGGCCTCCTCCACCGCCGAAATGCCTGCTGCTACCCCCCCCCCCTTCCCCCCAAGACGGCGGGCAGCACAATGAAGGCTCAACACAGTCGTCAATAACACGTCGTTGCTTTCAAATGAGTTACTAGTTATATACTGTACACATAATAGGCGACGTTTCGGGTAATAGATCCTTCTCCGTAGCCCACAGCACCGGGGGCATGCTTCGGGGCGGTGATGTTTTTCTGTCGTCGCGTGTTGCAGAGATTCACGGCTCGAATCTTGAAGGACGCCCTGGTTCGTATCGTGGTGCGGATTTAACCATAACATGCACTGCTCCACTGCACAGTGGACGTTAAATAGCCAGTGAAGGCATTCTAAAGGAGCAGGCCAATCGATCAAATTGGGAAAATTACAGCGCAGACGACTCAAATTGGGATTACAGCAGCAGCAACAGCACCGCCCCCTGCTGCGACACCACCGCAGGCTGTTCCTGTGTGGCAGCGGCGCCTCCCTGCGTGACGGGCGCCCCGCGCTATGGGAATGGAAGCGCCCGTTCCATGTGCACTCTGTCATTGTGATTCAAATGCGTGTTTGCCTGATAGCTATCGGACCAAAGCCGCTTCTGTAATGCAATACATAGCCCCGTTGTCAATCTACTGTTGGATGAAGATACATTTTTGCACGCGTCGGTCGTGAGGATAGCTTGACCATAGCGTCCCAGCAGTCCCGAGCTCTGCGGTCCTCTATATATTTAGGTGTTATCGATCAATTAATGAGCGTTTACACATGGGAGAGGAAACCAGAGCGCCTGGAGAAAACCCACACATGCCAGGGGACAACACTCTATCCTCTACAGATGGAACAGGTGGAGTCCACATTTTGCTGTCCCGTCCTCTCCTGGCAAACCAGGGTACGGCTTCTTCTCGACGCCCATGAGAAGAGAGTTTCACAACATCTCTACCTGATCCACCTACAGATTAAATAGATGCAGATTTCAGTGGGAGATTTAATTAGAGATATTTTATATTGATTCAAGTGAAATTATCAAAGGGATCCGAATAAGCCAGTTAAAGTAGGGTCGTCGGCATCATTGGCCATGGTCAATCCACTGATGGATAAAGGCCACCTCTTCGGATGTAATCGTCCACCACGTAACCACACACGAGTGGATTTCATTGCTTTGTCTCCTGGGCGGACTCAAGTTATAGTCCCTTTACAGCCAGGAGTTCACTCAGGGCCAAGGGACAATTCTACCAGCTCTGATTAGAGAATACGTTCAGCTTCAAGTTGATTTTGTGCAACCAGGTGAGAGCCCCACACACGAGGACAGGAGTTGTATGAGCAAGAGTGACCTGGGGCCTCAGTCTGACAGTCGGGGAACATGATGATCGCTGTGTGCGTATAATCCCGATTGTATATTCCCAATTGAGTCATCTGACACTGTAAGTGAAGCAGACGGCAAGTATTGTTATAGTTATGACACCTACTCGCAGTATTATCCAAGGCGGCCGCTGGGTAATACTGCGAACCGCGAACGTCTACAACGCGCTCCAGCTGGGCCCCCGCGTGGTCACGGCCGGGACGCGGTGACTCGAGGGGTCATTTTGTTCTTCGTATCAACAGGAGAACATTTGCATCTTGGGGAAGGAGACCTTCGTCTAGCAGTGGATTGAGCACGGCTCATGATGATGAGGTGGGCGCCCGCTGGCACAGCGTTCTCCTCGGAGAGGCGGAGACGGGAGCCGTGACTCATTAATCGTGAAACGACCGCGCACCCCGTTTCATCGTGGACGTTAAAGATCCCGTGACGTCATTCTCGGAAGAGTAGGCCATTGTGAGTCGGTGTCACGGCCAAAGTTTGCTGGCTTTTAAACAAAACGTCTCACCGTACTGGGAACACTTGGCAGGACCCTCCAGAAAACGAATCTTGAGACTCAGTGAGGATTTCTCCGGATAATATTGAAATAAAAAACCATAGTAACAGAGCTCCGAGCGCCAGAGATCGGGATTCTAAAGGAGCTACCAGCCCCGAGCTCCCTCAATTCTCACGTCCGTGGCACAGGTCACGTGTCCAGGGTTTTACTTGTGGAACTTTGTCAGTCAATCGCACTACTCCAAAGAAGGGCCAATGCCCAAAGCGTCGGCCAATTCATAGAAGCGATTTGGATAGCGTGGCCCAGGACGGCCTCACTACGTCTCGATCCTTGTTTGTAGGGAGAATCCCGCTACATTTGGATGTTTGGCCGCACGCATTGTGGAGCGTGTGGCTTCGTGCGTGTGTATGGAGGAAAGCAGAGTATGAAACTCGCATCGATAGCGCCACACAAATATATTCAATAATCCAGAATGGTCTGGATTCTCACGCAAGTTATGACTGCCGCAGTGCGGCTGATACTGAGGTTTACGCGGGGTGGTGGACAATTGAGTTGACCGTGACCGATCACCGAGTTCGCGCTGCTGCTGATGACCACCCCGATAACCGCATTCGCCCGTCCCTGGGAGCAAGGCCCCCCACGCGCCGCCTTGCGCTCTCCCTTCTCTCTCCGCGCTCTCCACTCTCCCTTCTCCGTGCGCGGCTACGAATGCCACGGGGCCTGTGCGGCTCCGGGCGTCAGGGCGACATGAAAGCGGTGGCCGGGGTGGAAGAGTGGGCTGGGTGGGGGGGGCCGTGGGGGAGGGTGGGGGGCGCGGCGCTTTGTAGTGGCGCGGGGTGAGGAGATGCATCCGGTCGCGTTTGATGCCCGGGCGCCCGCGATACATTCCGGAAACGAAAGCGCGCATGCGCAAACGAGCGCCTGATGGGGGACGGGAGGGGTGGGGGTGGTGTGTTGAGGATGTTGGGGAGGGGGTTGGGGGAGGAGAGGGGAGGAAGCGAGGGGTTCGGTGGGGTGGGGGCCGGGGCTGGGAATGAAAGGGAGGCTTCGGGGGGGGAGGGTGAGAGGCGAGGGGCGGCGTGGGGGGAGGGGTCCGGCGGTGAGAGGTGGGGGGGAACGGGGGATGAGCGCGGTAGGGGAGCCTGGGGGGAGGGGCGTGGAGGAAAGGGGTGGGTGGGGGTGGGGGGATTGTGGGGGCAGGGGGGGGCAACAAACCCGGGCCAATGAGCGGCGACCGGATGCGATGTAGCTGGCGGATAACAAACGCGGGATCGGGTTACGGGCGCGCGTGACGTCAGCGCGGGACTCGCACGGAGCGAGGGGAGGCGGAGTGCGAGCGGAGAGCGAGCCGCGCAGCGCGTGCCCGTGCGAGTCCTCGCGTGTACCACGACGCCTGTGCGTGTGCCGACTGCGCCAGTGCGTGCCTGTGCCCGCGTGGAGTACGCGCGGCGTGCGTTCTTATTCCGAATCGAACCCCGCGTGCGCCGCGGAGAACGGGGATACTCGAATCCGCAAACCCCCCTCCCTCCGTCCGCCGCGGAGCCGCGTTCATCAGCACCGCCTCCACCACCACCGCCGCTGCTGCCGTTGCCTCGCTCGCGGAGTTGGCGACTCTCGGCGCGGAGTCGAGGAGACCCCCCCCCATCTCCCCACGGCCGCGCATGGAGCGCAGCGCTTCTCCCGACCGCCGCCCGACGTCGCGTCCTGATGTCTAAGTGAGTCCCGCACAGCCTGGGGCGTCGGCGCGGGGGGCCCGCGGCGGGCCCGTGGGGGGCACGTGGGATTCGGACGGGGTTCTGCGGGATCGCCGCGTCGCGTCCTCGTTAGCGCTGCGCTCCCCATTCTCAGTCTTTACCACTCTCACGTCCACTGGGTGTCGAGGGGTCCGGGTGTCGAGGGGTCCGGGTGTCGAGGGGTCTGGGTGTCGAGGGGTCCCAATCTTTATGGGTCCCTATCTTTAGGGGTCCATAATTGGGTGGCGAGATGTTAATTCTGATTAGCACGGTTGGCGACATACAGTGCGAAATAAGTTCAACATCCGACCCTGACGCCTGCTGTATATTTGGGGTTTGCGTTTCTCTCTCCCCGTGGTCACGTGGATTTTTCACCGGGTCCTCCGGTTTTTCCCTCCACATTTAGCAACACGCGTTTAGAGTATTTGGCTGCTAAGCATTTCCACATGATAGGCCACTGAGTTAAGCTATCATTTCTGACCAGGTCGCTTCTTTAAAATAGCTATGTTGCTCAGTGGACCTTACCTGGTAAAATAAAGAGTTTTATCGGGTTCCCGATGCGAATGGATGGCGAGGGGTCCCGGTATTGAGGGGTCTCCGTCCAGCGCGTGGATTCGCTCAGTCGAGCCGCGAGCTTTACTGGCTGATGTAATCCACCCTGGAAGTGGTGTCCCCCACGCTGCTCGGTAGCAAAAGCGCCCAGCAACGCTGGGCGCTTTGAAGGGCGCGGGTTCGTTGGGCCATGACCACGAGCCTCGGGCTCGTGCTGGGTGTAGTGTCCCTGGATGAGTATCACGCAGATCGAGCGCCGTTCGTCTCTGCCGGGTGTCACGCTCGGGGCATCATCGCTATCATCATCATATGCGTGCTGCTGGGTGCTTTGCTGGGCGCAAACCCCGCGCTCTCCCTGCCCATCTCTCCCTGCTTCACGGGCCGCCGCTGCGCTGCAATGCCGTTCATCGGGTTTCTCCGCTGCTGCTCAGCCTCCGCCTTTGTTGTGCTTGGTATGTCGGGTGTGCGGGGGGGCGGTGGTGAGTGGGTGAGTGGGTGGGTGGGAGGGTGCAGGGGATGGAGGAGGGAGGGAGTTGGGGGAACAGGGGGGGGAGAGTGGGGCTCTCTGCACGCAAGCGAGGATGCATTACGCGCCGCCGCCGCCGCCTCGCCCCGTGGAGGGAGTCGCGTTCCCGGGGCGCAGGGCGCGGGGGCTCGCGGCGCCATACGCGGGCGAGCGCGGCGCGACTCTGCCACTTGAGGTGGAGAGTGGGGAGAGAGAGTGGAGACAAGAGAGCGGGGAGAGAGAGAGAGGAGAGCGCACTCTCTGCCAGGGGCCCAGGGGAGGAGGACGAGTGCTGGAAGTGATGGTGGCTCTGCTCCGGTGCGCGGGTTCGCTGTTCTCTGGGTGTGTGTGCACGTCTGTGTGGGTCGGTCTGTATGATGAACTTCTTTCGCAGTCGTGCAGCGGTTAGCGCGCTGCTCCACGAACTCGGCGACCCAGATTCAATTCCCACTCACGGTCAACACCAGTGACGATTATCTGAATCCGGCCTGGGCCTCGTCTAGGTCGACTCGGTCTCAAATGAATGCCAGGTACGGTATGTAAACATCGCCACTAGGGAGACAAAGGCGGCCGGGCGTAGTTCTGGCCACCCACCCCCTCGTGTACCGTGCCGGCCTTCATAGGTGCTCGCTAACAGCACTCGCCCCACCAGTCTGTTAAGGCTACACGGGGGATTTTTGTGAGTTTGTGGAGGAAGCGCTCGGTGGTGCAGTGATTAGCACACAACCCGAGTTCGATAATTATCTAGGTTGACTAGGGCTTTGATTATCTGGTGCAGTTTGTAAAGGTGAGCAGCGTGGGCTAGGTACCCGTGTGTAGTGGTGTTGGCATTGCTCACGGTACAATTTGCAGCAGTCTGCATGGCCCACGATTACCCAGGCAAGCCTCGCCGAGTCTCGAGACGCATTTTCAGGAGGGTCCTGCCAGGTTTTTATGGTCAGGATCGCTGAGAGTTTCCCGGTTGAGCAAACTGTGCGTAATTCTTTCAACTTTGGTTAATTTTAGCGGGTACCCAATGGCCGACTCTCTCCTCCCAACGGTGTCACGGAATCTCTAAACACGCACAGCACCGAGCGTGCTCTCGGTCGACGCACAGCCGCAGTATCTGATCAGTGTGCTATGACCAGTGTGCTATGATCAGTGTGCTATGACCAGTGTGCTATGAAGAACGTTCATTGGCCAAACCGTCGGCCGATTATATGTGCTTTTAATGCGGCACACTGAGGTGTTAATGGCGGACGTGTTGAGTTGTATTATTCTTGTTTTGAGTACGACTGCCTTTCTGATTAATGTTCAGTGTTAACCAGGGCGGCCCGCCGGCCTCGAACCGCGAAACCTGTGCAAACAAGCAGCGATTGCATCCCTGCTGGCCCATTACACCCCCCCTCCCCCCGTTGGCGTGAGTGCTGTTAGCTAGCTGCCATGCGGCGCGGGAGAGCGTTTTGTGAATGGGGTTTGTGAGCGTGGTGTGTGCCCCGATGATGACGCCATCTGCCTCCCCCACTACCCTCGTGTTGTCCCCCCCAGGTATTTGGATGCCTTAACCGCACATGGATTCCCGCGTTTGGCGTCAGAGCGACGGGGGCGGCGGCACCGGCGGGGGCCGCACGATCGTGCGCCACCCGCGCCTCCTGCAGCAGCAAGCGCCCGATGAGCCGCTCGCCGCGTCGCCGCACTCGCTCGTCCTCTCGCTCGACCAGATCAAGGCTATCCGTGCCAACAACGACTACTCGGAGCCGCCCACCGTCGTGCGCTCCAACAAGCCCCCCCACTGGGGGGGCGGCGGGGGCGCCGTCTCCTCCTCCTCGTCGTCGTCGCCGCAGCAGCACAAGGAGCGTACGCACGAGCGGCTGCCGAGCGGCGAGACGCCGCAGGGTGCCGCCGCGCACAAGGCCGCGCCGCCACCCCGCGGCGGTGGCGGCGCCCAGCAGCCGCCCCCCGTGCCCAGTCGCTCGGCCAGCGGCGGCAGCACCGCGTCGCGGACCAGCGCGGGCAGCGCCGGCTCGGAGCGGCGCCTGCTGGGGGGCGGCGGGGGAGCGCAGCACCGGCAGGGGCCCCCCTGGGAGGGAATCGTCGTGCGCAGTCAGCCGCGAGCCGCTGCGCCGGCCCGCGGGACGACCGAGCCGAAACGGGAGCAGCGCCAACACCGTCATGGGCACCAGCAGCGGCACGGCAAGGACGGGGGCGACCAGAAGTGCAAGGCGGGCGAGGAGGGCGGTGGCGGCAAGGAGCCGTGCCCCGAGTGGGGCCAGCACGCGTGCATCTGCGAGCGGTGCGGGCGCTGCAAGTGCGGCGAGTGCGTGGCTCCGCGCGCGCTGCCCGCGTGCTGGCTGTGCGAGAAGCGCTGCCTGTGCTCGGCGGACGCGCTGCTCGAGTCGTGCACGTGCCTGTGCTGCGTCAAGGCGCTCTTCTACCACTGCTCGGACTACGGCGACGGCGACTCGAGCGACTCGTGGGCCGACAAGCCGTGCGCCGGCTGCAGCCAGTCGCGCTGTGGCCTGCGCTGGGCCAGCATGGCGGCGCTCTCGCTGTGCCTGCCGTGCCTGCTGTGCTACCCGCCGGCGCGCGGGGCTCTCAAGCTGTGCCGCGCGGGGTACGACCGCCTCACGCGGCCCGGCTGCCGCTGCGAGAGCAGCAACTCGGTGCGCTGCAAGCCTCCGGAGGTGCCCCCCCGTAAGCCCATCTGACTGCCCTCCCAAACTCTCGCCCACGCGACGATGACCGCCGCCGCTGCCTCCTCACCTTCCTCCCTTCTTCCCGCGTCGCTCCGGGATGTACGAGCCCTCGCGTATCGGCGACCATGATGGCGGCGACGATGGCGACTATAATATTAATAACAAATATTAATAATAATATTAATAACGTTGGTGATGATGATGATGATATAACCACTGGCCCCCATGTGGGCAAGACGGGGGAAACACGTGCCCCCAATGACTGGCGCCAAAAGTGGACCTGGGAACCCCCGGCGTGGGAATGTGGAGTTGGGGTCGGACGTGGTGAATCCTCCACGCCGCGGCTCTCGGAGACCGCGTGACCGGACCTGGCGTTTGCGCCGAACCTGGATGAGCGGAACGTGAGATGGAATCGGGACCCAGGGAGCCAACCGTGCAAGAGAAGCTGGATTGGATACAAAACGAACCTGGCGGTGCCCTGGACCTGGTACCTTCATGATCACGGGACCTGGGGACCTGGGGACCGTGGGGTTTTGCACCGGGACCAGGCGATGATGCTTAACCCCCTCCCCCCCACTGCCCCCTAACCCCCCCCCCCGGGGAGGGGGGGGGGGCGTGGAAGAAGGGGGTTGGCTCCGAACGGCGATCGAGTGTAACCTGTGGCACAAATTAACCTTCCCCTCTTTATGTACAAATAACAAATTATTGTCTATCTATTTTTGTACATAGCTATAATATTAATGTAAAGATCAAGATATCCCATGAATGTTTAAAAAAAAAGGTATAGCTCGCTACTTTGCAATGCCCGTGCATCCTGTGGAATGTGAGCCAGGAGCACAGCGGCCCCCCCAGCGAGGCCGCTGGGGGGGCCGCTGTGCTCCTGGCTCACATCCTGTGGAATGTGAGCCAGGAGCACAGCGGCCCCCCCAGCGAGGCCGCTGGGGCCCTGGCGGCCGGATTCTGTTATTATCCTGTGGCTTCAGCGTACGGCATTCACAATGTAAAGTTATTATTATAGAGCTCCGTATTATTTTCTAATTCTCTCTCCCTCTCTCTGTGTTAAATCCTCCCCACCGCCCCCACCCCACTTTTTTTTGTCTAGTGTAAAGAAATATTTATTACTTGAAGTTAAATATTTTATAATATTTATTGGAAAGAGGAAACCATCCCGCGCGAGTGGCCTCGCCGCGTAAGCCGGCTGTGACTGAAACAGAAAATATATGAATGAAGTGACGAGCGAGTGCGACTCTCATCTCTGGGTTAGGGGGGCCAGGGGGGGGGGCGTGAGGGGCCTGTGGGGTGGGGGGGCATAAAGTCACGTACCAGCGACTCCCCACCCCACCATCCGGTCCTGTGGGGGATTATGTCGCCATTTGTAAAGAGCTTCTTAGCTCTGTGGGTTTTACCCAAAATAAGTGGACTGACGAGGGACCGACCAGACTCGGTATCAGACCCGAGGCGCACCTGTCCAGGTCGGTGCAAGGCTTGGTATCAAATTGGTATGGAACTGGTATCGCTGGGTACGAGGAAGTGGCGTAGCCCGTCGGTAGCACATTAGAGGTTCGTGCTTCGAATCCGTCAGGCCGCCCTGGTAAATACCTGCGGTTTGTACTCGCCATAAAAATTATTCCGCTCCATGGTGGGCACTCAGCCCACGTGCCACGTTGGAGAAACAAGTAGCGGGCTGCTGTTGCGCTCCAGCCTCGTCACGATCCAAACTCTGAACAAAGTGCCGAGAGTTTCTCAAGTGTTGGCAACACGACGATTGCCACGCTCGACCACGAAACGCGCAGGGGCCCCCATCGTGACCAACCGCACATGCAGCATTGGTCCTTTACACCGCCAAGAGGCTGCGAGTATGGCTACGAATTTGTTGAATTTATCTGTGCGGAGCCGTCGGCGCTGTCCCCTCGTGTATACGCAGTGTATGCTGGGTGTGTGCTCCGATTAACCATGAAGAGTGGGTGAAAAAGAGTGGAGCAGCCAATCTCAAGCCCCCACCATTCTCCCCCCCCCCCCGCCTCGTTCCTATACATGGTCATGCCTTGTCCAATCACAGAGCTACCATCATATTTAATGGCACACACGGAAGATCATCACGTGTGCTACAGCTCTCAGCCTTGTCCAGCCCACCAGCTCGCAAGCACTGAACGTGTGGATGCGTTGTTGTTTAGAATCACTGACTGCTCAAAGGCTGAGAAATTGTGGCCGTCCCACCAGAGGCAGCAGTGAAATCAGGAGGCAACCGTCGACCGGTTTCACCATTATTAGAACTCATCGGTACAGTGGGGTCATCAATATGCACTGCTGCCTGTTGGGATGGCCACATTTTCTCAACTCTTGAGCAATCCGTGGTTCTAAACGGCAAGGCTATGTGTTCAGTTATTGTGAGCTAGCTGTCTGGATAAGGTTGAGAGCTGTGAGTGGTATCTAATCTGTTCCCATCTGCATTCGTTTTCATTATTGTCATGAGATGTCTCGTCATGTGCAGATTTGAACACTGCAGTTACACAAAACCACTTCTGATTAACTGCAGCATTGTTTAACAGTGCGGCGTAGGGAATGGAGAGAAGGGAGACCACCCTCAGCAATAGCGCCTCGCATCTGCCCCCCGCGGTTCGCTGCTGTGCGGCAGCTGTCACAACCCCCGCCCCCCCCCCCCGTACTGACTCTTGGCGCTGCCAAATCAAGGGTCCGTTTTGCCATCCAAAGCAGAACGCGTTTAGTCCAGCGGCCTCACGGTTTATTCAGATCCAGAGTTTTCTTCCAAGCAGCGGCTGTTGAGACGAGTAAACCCTGGCCCAGTTTCGACTTCACTGCGTCTCACCAGCAGGGCGTGTCCTTACTCTTTGGTTCTATTCGGTAAAGTCATGTAGGTAAAAAATAAAACAACAAAAATCACGACGTTTCGGCTACAACACAAGCGGCCTTCATCAGGTGAAGGGATCAGGCTGTCTCGAGGACAGCGCTGGAGTGGAACACAGCCACGCTCAGACCGCGACCTTTAAGCTGTGTCCGAGGAAACAAGGTGCCTTGACAAAGGAATTAGGCACCTTGTTTCCTCGCACACAGCTTAAAGGTCGCGGTCTGAGCGTGGCTGTGTTCCACTCCAGCGCTGTCCTCGAGACAGCCTGATCCCTTCACCTGATGAAGGCCGCTTGTGTTGTAGCCGAAACGTCGTGATTTTTGTTGTTTTATTTTTTACCTACGTGACTTTACCGAATAGAACCAAAGAGTATGGATCCTTGGAGTCACGAAAGCTTTAAATCTAGAAAAGGGCGTGTCCTGTTTGTAAAGACGCCGCCGGTTGCTGCCCTCCGCTACGGACAAAAGGAATGCCCCTCGTGGAGTAATCGTTGCGATGGCTCGAATGTTCAGAAGTTTATTTCCGTAGCGAGGTGAGTTGGGGGTCGTGCGGCGAGGGGCGCCCCCCACACAGCCCCCGCCACGAAGTCGGATCGCACCCGTGAGTTACAGGTCAATATGTCTTCCCTCTTGTTCGAACGATGATGATGCAGCTGATGATCCAACTCGCGACGTGGCCAGGCCAAGGATCCGCATGTGCCACGCGAGTTCCAAACCTCGCCACAAACACCGCCGGCCTCGCGCTGTCCCCGACGGTGGCTGGGGAACCGGGGCCTCGTGTTCCCCAACGCCTGGCGCGGGTTAGAGACAGGGCCCAGAGTTAGGGGTCAGGGCTAAGAGTTTGGGACCAGGGCCCACAGTTAGGGAGCAGGGCCCAGAGTTAGGGGGCAGGGCTAAGAGTTAGGGGTCAGGGCTAAGAGTTGGGGACCAGGGCCCACAGTTAGGGAGCAGGGCCCAGAGTTAGGGGGCAGGGCTAAGAGTTAGAGACCAGGGCCCAGAGTTAGGGGTCAGGGCTAAGAGTTGGGGACCAGGGCCCACAGTTAGGGAGCAGGGCCCAGAGTTATGGGGCAGGGACCAGGGCACAGGGTTATGGGGCAGGGCCCAGAGTTAGGGAGCAGGGCCCAGAGTTAGGGGGCAGGGCCCAGAGTTAGACTCACGGGGGCAATAAAAACAGAAGTCGCGCTGAATTTGGAGTGCAGCGTGCGGAGGGGCAGGAGATGGGCAGGAGCAGGGGGTGGGGTCAGCTGAGAGTTTGGTCGCTCAGGTTGTGGTCGCGGTGTTGACACGCGACGCATGCTGCGGTCGCATCGCGCCCGGTTCAAGGTTCCCCTCCCCGCTGCCCCCCCCCCCCCCCGCGTTTCCATAGCGATGCGCGCGGCCGCAAGTATTGCGCTTTAATAGCGCTATTCCGCGCAGGACATAACATCCGCAGAGGAGCCCTCGCTATTATGAAAACACGCGGATACATATCAGAACAATGGCCGCGAACTCCAACGAAAACATCATCAGAATGTTTATAGAATGTGTTTCGGGGCTCGAGCGGGGGGCGGGGGGCAGCGAGTGTGGGCGCAACGAAGAGGTGGGTGGGGGCGGAGAGGGGGAGCCGTCTCCATCATAAAAGGAGCTCGAGTAGCGGCGCACAAATGGAAACGGCCCTCCCCCCCCCCCTTCTTACCCAGCGCTCGCTCTCCTCGCCCCCCCCCCCCCCACCGTCCCCCTCGTCCCCCCGGGCCATTCACTTTACTCATTGAGGCAGAGAGCGCAGCGCGCAGGAAGGAAGGAAACGGCTCTTTCTGCCGCAGGCCCCATTGTCTCTGCGCCGCGCAGGCCCGGGCAGCCGCGCGCCGACCCCCCCCCCCGTCTCCACGCGGCTGCTGCCCCCCCCCCCCTCCCCCAACGTGCGGGAGAGCGGCGCGAGAGCGCGGAGCTCCGCTGCTCTCGCCTGGCCGCGCTCCCCCTCCTCCTCTTCCCGGAGCCGTAATTACTGTAATGGGTTCCATGCTGCAGCCAAACAATTACACGTGCGCGCCGGGGGGGGGGGGGGGGGGGGGTGGCGGGGGGGGGGCAGAGGATGCGGTTTAAACGACAGGCATTAGTGGTCCCCAAACTCACCCCCCACACACCACCCCCCACTCTCTGGGTAACTGCGAGCAAGAGTTGCGTGACAACTGTGTGTGTGTCGGGGTGGGTGTTTGTGTGTGTGTGTGTCGGGGTGTGTGTCTGTGTATTTGCGTCGGGGTGTGTGCGCTAGAGTAGCAGTTAAAGCTGCTCCGAGTGTCATCCGCCTCCCACACGAAACAAAAAAACTCCTCCATGTGATTCATGGCCAAACATCCAAATACAGTGTCAGGAGGCTCCTGCAAATGAGCCTTGAGTTTCAGCGAGATTTTGCTGGGTAAATAACGTGCAGGTATCATTACTGTTGACACGATAGTTACACGCACGCACGGAGCTTGTGTCGATCCACGGCCGGATGAGGGCCTACCCCAAGCCGGGCGGGCCATGCGGGGTTAGTTGACCATACTTCACCGCGCTGGTCATTGCGGGTTTATGTAGGCGGGGGAAATAGAAGCACAATACAGCAAAGAA